TGTTAGTTGATATAAAATATAATATTGAGTAGTTGAATTATTTAGTTTGTTATTGTGTAATTAAAATCCTTGCACTGTACATCTGTTTTTCTTATTTAGGCAACTCATCCTGTGGCACAAGGTTTCATTAAGTAATTAGCAAAGGAGATGTGAATTTCTTAGGTAGACATGCTGATGATATTATAGACTAGACTACTACTTGTTTTGTTGGCTTCTAATTAAGATGCTAAGTTGACTTGTGAGAAGGTGGCCCAAGAATGATTTGCTTGCCAGAAGTTACCATTGTGGCTTTCCAGATGATAGTATGAGGATGGTGGTGAACAGCTGGAGAAACCACTTTCCTCCCGTGGTAGGGAGCATTAGAGAGCTCAAGGATTACTTTCCATCTCTGTAGAACCAGCTGAGAAGGGAAAGTGGGCATATTTGAGAGCTTAGGGTTGTGTTCTAATGTTTGAAAATAGTTCATTGATTCTAAAAAACAACAGCTCTAAGCGTTTTTTTTCTTGCTTTAAAGTAATCTAAAACTGCTGTACATGGATGCTCTTGGTGGTAGAATTGTAGATGTCAGGACGCTAATGCCTTTCTGAAAACCCACCGGGCTCCAGTATACTTCCAGGATAGCCCGAAGTTGACAGCATTAGAATCCTCCCTTAGGACCCAGTGTTACAGGGATACCCCATGCCTGCTGCCTGCCAGGACGGAGGACTCAATAGTTTCTGATGTGCAATGGTTACAGGAAAACATCAGCCCAGGACCATGGCACAGCCCTATTTTGGTGGCATTATTGAAATCTCATTGATGGATAAGTTGGGGAGTCAGACTGGGCACACCTAACTTTGGGGGAGTACATTAAATGACTTAGTAGTAATAAGCAGTGATGATTATGTTTATTTAAGTGTGAATTTGTTTTCCAGTCACAGGAATCATTTATTAAGAAGTATTTTCTTCACATATCACTCTTTGTTTGAAAATAGTTAGCTTTGAATAACACTACTGCACTTGGGATTTCTTTCTCTCCCTCCCTCCCTTCCTCCCTCCCTTCCTCTTTCTTTCTTTCTTTCTTTCTTTCTTTCTTTCTTTCTTTCTTTCTTTCTTTCTTTCTTTCTTTCTTTCTTTCTTTCTTTCTTTCTTTCTTTCTTTCTTTCTTTCTTTCTCTCTCTCTCTCTCTCTCTCTCTCTCTCTCTCTCTCTCTCTCTCTCTCTCTCCCTCCCTCCCTCCCTCCCTCCCTCCCTCCCTCTCTCTCTCTCTCTCTCTCCTTTTCTTTTTTTCTTTTTCTTTTCCTTTCCTCTTGGCCCTTGTTGGTTTGCTTGTTTTTAGCTTTATTACAATTACATTAAATTGTCTTTTTCTTGTAGCAAAGGTTTGGAGGTGAGTGTTTGGTGGGTAAACAGACATTTGACAATTTGCAGCACATTTATTTGACATGAACTTGCATTTCTAGACATATACCCAGTTTTATCAGAGGTGTGGACAGAATAGACTCCAGAATCCCAGAGGTCCCCTTTCATGTGAGGGGTGTGCCAGCACCATGCTAAGTCCCTCCTGATTTTAATTAATAATGATGAAAAGGCTTCTGTTGTTACCCTCCTACCACCACCAAGACCTGATCAGGGAAATAATTTCTAATATAGGAGCTTCAATTTTAGGAACTTGTCTCAGAACAACCATTATTTTTACATTTAAATTTTTCTGTTTTTGGGCCCGGCGCGGTGGCACAGTGGTTAAGGTCCTCGCCTTGTACGCCCGGGATCCCATATGGGTGCCGGTTCTATCCTGGCAGCTCCGCTTCCCTTCCAGCTCCCCTGCCTGTGGCCCGGGAAAGCAGTCGAGGACGGCCCAAAGCCTTGGGACCCTGCACCCGTGTGGGAGACCCAGAAGAGGCTCCTGGCTTCGGATCGGCATAGCATCTGCCGTTGTGCTCACTTGGGGAGTGAATCATCGGACGGAAGATCTTCCTCTCTGTCTCTCCTCCTCTCTGTATATCTGCCTTTCCAATAGAAAAAAATAATAAAAATAAATCTTTAAAAAAAGTTTGCTTTTTTTTAAAGATGTATTTATTTTTATTGCAAAGTCAGATATACAGAGAGGAGGAGAGACAGAGAGGAAGATCTTTTGTCCAATGATTCACTTCCCAAGTGACCACAACGACTGGTACTGTGCTGATCTGGAGCCAGGATCCAGGAATCTCCTCCAGGTATCTCACATGGGTGCAGGGTCCCAAGGCTTTGGGCAGTTTTCAACTGCTTTCCCAGGCCACAAGCAGAGTGCTGGATGGGAAGTGGAACTGCCAGGACTAGAACTGGTGTCCCTATGGGATCTTGGTACTTTTTAGGAGAAGACTTTAGCCGCTAGGCCATCACACTGGGCCCTAGAATTTTCTTTTTTTATAAAACAACAACAAAAGGTCTAAGCAGAGTTATTAATACAAATAGTGTAATTGCTGGTTTGTGAAAAAAGCCCCCCCCCCCCCCCAGAACATTGTGCCTCCTACAAGGTGAATTTCTTTTGGCTGGCTGCTTTGTAATGATTTACATTTAGATTGTTGCTCTGTGGGAAGGGGTGGGGGGCTGGCTTGTCTGGGACTCCCTCCATGTCCGCATTGGCTGCATCTGAACAGCAGTGCTTGGAAATAGACTGAACTCACTTTCAGTTGTTTTCATCAGTTATTCTCATCAAAGGTTGGTGTGAATTGGGGGAAGCATCATGTAGGATTGGAAGTTAAATGAGATGAAAAATGAAGTTTGTGATTGTGAAGAATGGCGTAGGGCCTACCTACGCCAGTGCACGGTCTGGTGGGACTGGAAGGCTGCTACCACTGTCACTGCCTGGGCCAGTGAAGGGCCGCAGTGAAATAAACTCCCTTACTCAGAAGCAGGCAGGGGAAAGTGGACTTCACTGGACTGCACTTCTCACTAGAACCAATGCAAATGAAAAGTCGTAACTGCCTGGAGTATAATGCATTCAATGAGTAAAACAGGTGACATTTCCTGTCCTCCTGAAGTTTACATTCTCTTGGATAATGTCTGAAGATAAGGGAGGGTCTAAGGAAACGGGAGGGGGTGTTTGGAAAGGGAAGTATGATCTAGACATGGAGATGCAAGAAGAAAGCTTCATTGAAAAGTGTGACACCAAGAGAGTTCTTAAAAGAAATGAAATTTCTTGTAGAACTAGGTAAGGAGCGTTCAAGACAGGAAACAGAAGCTGCCCAGACTAGGAGGTAGGAGACAAGGAGGCTTGTAGAAATGTAGCAAAGGGAGACAGGAGCTAGAGATGTGGGGTGATAGCTGAAGGCAGGTGGTAAACGTATATGGCTTTTGAGAGTCATTATCTGTATTTGGATTTTTTTCCTCTGAAAAGGGATACTGATCTGTTAGAAGATTTTGAGCAGGAAAATGATTCTAGCTTGACTTTTTAACAGTCACTTGATTCCTATGAGGAAAATGGAGTATAAAGGCATAGGAGTCAACAGGAAGAGAGTTACTGGATGAGATGGTAATGACGGGATAGAGCAGAGTAGTGGAACGGTAAGAGTAGTGGGATCTGTAGGACCATCTAGGAAACTTCCGTAAGCTTTTTGTTTTGCTTGATTTTTTTTTTTTTTTTTAAAGCACAAGCCAGTTTGGCGCTGTCTTGGAGATGTATTCTCATTGTGTGGTGGCAGCTCTTCCAAGAAGGCAGTGCCCAGTGTATTACTGTGTTTCTGAAAGTGAGAGTTATGTACAACCCACTTGTAATGTGGACGTTACTGCCTTTTTTGAGGTTTATAAGATGCAGGCAGTCACACTTGACATCTCCCACCTGCCAGTTTGGTACACTCCTGGGTTTGCAGTGCCTTAAGACAGACTACTTAAGAACAAGCAAAGGTGCTGCTTCACTCTTAATAAAGCTGAGTTAATTTTCAATTTTAGAGCTGAGTTTTATGTTAGGAGATTATAGAGGGAGTGATTGTTGTGGTACAATAGGTTAAGCCTACATCTCATATCAGTGTCTGGCTTGAGTCCTAGCTACTCTACTTCCAATCCAACTTCTTGCCAAACACACTTGAAAAGGCAGTAGCTGAAGGTTCAAGTACTTGGGTCCTGATGTCCTGTTGACACTTTCTGGCTCCTACTATGCCAACTCTCTCTACTGGTTTTTGGTCCAACTGAACCAGTGGGTGAAATTTTGATTTTCTCTTTCTTCCCCTTCTGTGTAATCTTGCTTTTCAAATAAATAAATAAATACTTCTTTCTAAAAAGGTCACAGAGATGGGGCCGACATTGTGGCATAATGGGTTAAGCCACTGCCATATGAGCAGTGGTTCAAATTCCTGCTGCTCCACTTTTGATCCTCCATCTCCTGGTTAATGTACCTGGGAAAGCAACAGAAGATAGACCAAGTATTTGGGCTCCTGTACCCATGTGGGAGGCCTCACAGGAGCTCTGGGCTCCTGGTTTCAGCATGACCCAGCCCAAGGCTGTCGCTGCCATTTGAAGAGTGAACCAGTAGATGGAAGATCTCTCTATATATCTTTGCTTCTGTCTGTAACTTTGGCTTTCACCTAAATAAAGTAAATCTTAAAAACAAAAATGTTACAATGAGTCAAATAATGCCTTTGCATGTGGAATTCTGCTAATCATAATGGTTTAAAGATTAGTGAGATATAACCTGTTATTTAAAGAATGGTTGTCTACTTGAGGACAAGCAAATAACCAACAAGAGTTAAATGCCACTATATATCTAGGGCCCAGTGAAGAGGTACAAACAAGGAGCTTATTTTGTTTTTAAAGAATCTGGTTTGTGTTGAGCTGTTCCACCCTTCTTTCTAACTCAGGCCTTCCCCTCTCAGAAGTCAGCCCCAAATTGTGCATACTTGTCTCAATTTGTATAGTATAAACCAAGTGTCTTACCATTCCAATTCCTTTCTGGATAAGGACATTAGCTTGGCCAGAAGAATGAAGTCAGTACTGCTTTTCAGGCCAGGCACTAATCCTGATTTCCAAATGTGTTGTTCTGGTCAGATTCACAATCTGAGAATGAGGCTTCACCAGTCAAACGACCACGACTACTGGAGAACACCGAACGGTCTGAGGAAACCAGCCGGTCTAAACAGAAGAGTCGACGTCGGTGCTTCCAGTGCCAAACCAAACTGGAGCTGGTGCAGCAGGAGTTGGGATCCTGTCGCTGTGGTAAGCATCTCCCCACGTGGGCTGCTGGGGCAGGATCCAGAACAGACTGGCACAACTTGGGAGATGATTCTTAGGAGAAGACCGAATCCTTCAGCCTTCTGAGTACTTCCCTGCCAGCTGTGGGGTTAGTGCTTGAGAAATTGGGGTTCTTATGGAATGGTTTATGTGAGCCCAGATTTTGCTGTTGATGAATGCTGCAAGGTAATTTTAAATCCTTAATGAGTCAGGGCAAGCATACTGTGTTTGCCAAGCTGGATTCTGGTGCCTAGCCAACTTCCTTCGTATGAAAGGAAGGATCTGTTTGATGTTTGCAAATTCAAGTTCATGTGAACTACTGGAGAGTTTCAGGAGTTTGGTCTGTTACCAGTGTTAAGGAGCCTACCTGGTTATTTGCCTCTGGGTTTTCTAACACAGTCCTTTGGGTGCTTCTGTGGAATTTCCCTATTCCATGTTTTTGCTTCCTTCTTGAAAAGCACTGAGTTCTGGGTATTACCCAGGAATGCCTGAGCAGATCCTGCAATTGGTCCATCAGGTGTGCTGTCCAGCTGTGACAGTGGCTAGTACTTCCTCTCTCTGCCAGGTAGGCAGTGAGAATTCATAGTTTAGTGCTGAAATCCACAGGTGAGATAGGCACGTCTCCCAGTGTGCCCTTCAGCTAAAGAAATGTGGAAATCTGTGTTAGACGACTTCCTGTGTATCCCAGTGAAGCTGGCCTGACCAGGCTTGACTAGACGTGCAGGCTGTTCTGCCATGCTCTTCATCCTCTTGGGCAGCAGGCTCATTTCTGGATACCATTTGGGACTGCACAGGTTTTGAATGATTTAAGGTGTCTCCCTTTCATGTGTTTTTATTCTCCACCAAGCTCTTAAGATTTGTTTGTTTGTGTTTTGTTTTGTTTTGTTTTGTTTTTTGAAAGGTGGAGTAGTAGAAAGGAGAGATCTTCCAATACTGGTTCACTCCCCAGATAGTTAGTTACAATAGCCAGGCATGGGTTGGGCCACAGCTAGGAGCTTCATCTGGCCTCACGTGTAGGCTTAGGCCCAAGCACTTGGACCATCTTCCACGGCTTTCCAAAGTGCAATAGGAGTGATTTGGGTCAGAAATGGCACCCATGTGATGCCTGGTGCAGCTTAACCCACTATGCCATAGTGCTGGCCCTGGTGCCCTATTCCATTCTCCTTGTGGGAAAATTTGACTTTTCTGTTGGGGTAGAAAGTCCTGAGCCTTCCGTTGTACTTTCAGATACAGCCTTACTAAAGAGAGCTGGGAGTTCAGTTTGGCCTACCAAGAACATTACACTTACATGCCCAGAAAATTGACGGCCCACTGCCATACTTTAAATGATGAAGGACAGCAGTGGGCATATTACTATACCTTTGGGATTTTCTGAGAAGTAGCTCACGTGTTCCTCCTGTCTGTCTGCTTGGATTTCTCTAGGAAAGGGTGGTTGGATGGATAATTCCTTGAATATGTGTGAGGTGTTGGTGAAGGTGTTTCACTGTCCTGAAAGGTTTTAGGGGGAAACTCAATAATTTACTGCCGAAAATGATGACCTATGAAGGTATTTTAAACTAAAATACAATGCTTTCTCATTGAATATATATATATATATTTTCCCCCACAATCTTTTCTTCCATTCCCCTTCCATGCTGACAAGAAATTCACATCTCATAAATAATGCTTAAGAGCCATTGCTATATAAATTGAATGTGTTATGAATTGTGATGGGCCTTTTTGTAGCATTCGATGCCTAGAGCAGGAAGAACAGAGGATGTCATTTTCATTAATTTCTAATGAGGTGCCAATTAAAGGCAGAGAAGATGCTCCAAAGGGAAGAGTGGGCAACCTCCCCTGAATCCTCCGCCCTGGGGCAGTCATCCAAACACTGCCAGCAAAGCCTGCTCTAAAAATTCCATTAAATTACAGTCTCATCGAGAGCACACACAGACACATTCAGCTTCCCTTTGATCTTCAAAAGAGCAATTTGTAAGGCTAGTTCTGAGCCTTCTCACATAGGGAACAGCAATAGGTGATGGGAATTGTTAATTGCCAAGACAGTCCATGGGCTTTCAATGAGGAGGTGAATTTTGAAGATGTATTCTCTTCTGCCTCACTATGGCTAGATAACCTTTAAATCGATAATACTGAAGTAACACCTTTTTCCTGTGAAATCTTTTAGGGTACCAATTAGAAGACAGGTGGTGAAGCCAAGGTAATATTTGTCTTCCTAGAGCATAGTCAACAGTTTACCGTCTTAATCTAGAAAACAAGATAAAAATAGGTTTTATTTGTTTGATTTTGTCTGCAGTGGACAAATTGATCAGCTTGTTCTCATTGTGTGAGACTTTTCTTGTCTCTAGAGGTTGCCGCCTAGAGGCTGTTCTGGAATTCAGCCATTCTCAGCCACAGGAATGTGATCTTTTCTGTACAAATCTTGCATGATATACACAGCATGGTTTTCTGATCTCTGTGCATTGCTTCCCAGAGCCACAAAATTAATTGTTAGATATTAGTCTAAGAGCTTGTGTAAGTTTGTTCACATTTTTGATTCATGGTGACGTAACACACTGTAAGATCCCTTTTGGGTCAATAGTGCTTTTACTAATAAGTTTTTTATTCACTTAGAAAGCCCAGAGTGATGTTTTAGATAGAGCCTCTGGAGTAGTTTATCATCTGCAGGCACCTCAGTGGCTGTTCCTACCTCACCATTCACTGTCAAGTCAAATGCAGCAAACTTCCATTAAGCTCTGACTATGCAGGAAACATTTTGCTAGGTTTGTGGGGAATATAGGTACTCCTACTTTCTAGGTCAGCAGTTTCAGATCCTCACAGTTAAAGCAGATTGCTGGCCTCTTCCCTTGGAGCTTCCAATTCAGAAAAGAGTACCCTCTGCTCCTAGGAGGACTATACTTTGAGAGCCAGTGCTATAGGCAGTTCTCCACCCTTGGCAGCTTTGAAAACAGGAGAGGGAATACCTGGCTCAAACAAAACAATTAAGTGTGAAAAGTTTCCCAAGGTATTGCTTTCAGCTTTTTACTTTGAAATACTTTTTTTTTTAAAAAAAAAAAAATTCTGTGAACTCCAGAAAGTGTTTTCTAAAAATATGTATATTACTTTATAAAGTTACAACATCCTGGTACTGACAAAATACTTCAATCAGATCTGTTATCTGGGATGACATGACATTAGCAGATAAAAGCACTGCCTGCCATGCCAACATCCCATATGGATGCCACTTCATTTCCCAGCTGCTCCGTTTCTGATCTTACTTCCTGCTAATGGCTTAATGAATATATTATATATTCTCATATGGTTTGTAGCCTTGCTTTGTCCACATACCATGCTATTTTTAAGATTCTTCACTTTGTGTTTAAGTAGATTGTCCAGAATAGCTGACTTAGCCCTTGATAAACTACTATGCAGCCCATAAAAGGCCAACAAGGCCGTATTTCAAAATCCTTTATAATTGAAGCATGCTCATTTTGTTCATGTTCATCTGCTTAGAGTGAGGAGAGCCAGTCACCTGACAGGGGGCCTCTTCTGTCCCACTCGGGGCTAGCAAAGGGACACTGCTAAGAATCTGGGTAGGCAGTAGAATTGCATCCCTCAATATCAGATGCAGCCTTACTGGTCCATTAAGCCAGCTCCTTCTTTTTTTAACAAAGAAAACTGAAAAGTAGTTGCTTGTCTCAAGTTATAGCCCCATGTGAATAGTGATACTGTGTGCAAGATTGGCTCCAAAATCCAAAGCCTACTGAGAAATGTCTGACCAGGGTGACTCAGCCCCGGGTCTGCCCCATGAGATGCATCTCCCTGACACCTCTTCCATTGCATCTTCAGCTCCCCTGAACCCTTTGATTTCGTAATCTCTCCTCCCAACTTGGCCTGTTCTTATCTAGTTGAGCCTCCAGATCTTACTCAAGATTTTAGACTTGTATGATTCCTAACCAAAGTCATCACCCAGGACCTATAATGATTGAACTATGTGTGTGTCTAAGTACATACACATTCATATACATATAAAAAGTATATATAACATATAAAGTATTTTTAGTGGAAAATAATACAATTTCAGGATGTTTTTTGCTCTTACAAGTTAACAATAGATTGATCAAGAAGTTTTATTAAAAAGATGTCCTTTCTAAAGCCTTTAATGTGTAGTTAAAACTAATTTGTGTTTAGCATGTTCTATGTAAGTAATAGCTGTTACACACACTCAGTCTGCCAATGAAGTCTTGCTGTGATTACCACTTAGGCAGTTCTTCTCGAGTATGGGCCTCACCCTGCACTTCAGAGTCTTCTCACTTGATATCAGTGAGATTTTTATCAGTTGTGTTCTCTTCCACTTAGGAATGTATGCCTTCTGCTTGTCTAACATGTCTTCTCCCGCTGGTCTCCTATCCCCTGCCAAGTGCTGACATCCTTAGAAGCCAAAACCACATGTGCTTGGGCTGCTTCCCGCAGTCTGTGTTGGAGGACATGGCCTCTGCTGAGTGCCTTGTCAGTGCTAGCAGCATACCAATGGTAGAAGTCAAAGAAATGTGCTGTTCTGCTGAGCCTGCTGGTGATCACTAGAGCAGAGTCTTCCTGGATGCTCTGGAGGGCAGGGCCAAGCAAAGTGAGGCAGGTAATGGGCCAGTCGTTGTGTAAGTCCATGAGCTCAGGGTGTGTGCACAACCTTGAGCCCTCCCAGAAAAGTGTTTGACTGAAGAGGTAAGATGTAAGTGGAGGACTTCAGCATTATTTAGTGTTACATGCATTTCCCTGCGCTTATTTTTATTGATGGATGGAAATAATCAGACAAGATAAGGTGGCACTGCTTTGATTTAGTTAACATATTTGATGTGGTTGTGGATTTGGGAAATGCTATATTTGGGTAAGTAAAAGCTGTGTTTCATGTTGAATTGGTCATGAATAAGACAGCCTCTTAAAGGTCACAAAGACTAGCAGATTAGAGGCCTGCCTTGTGTAACCGTACTGGTCTCTCATTCCTGTCTGAC